TTGAACCAATGTCAAATAAGTAGACGCGAGAAACGACTTTGGCTTTAATACATTAATTAACATCTTCTTATTCTTTGTCCATTATGTTAATCAAAATTAGATAAAAAATTTCATCGTATATGGATATTCTTAACTACAACCGCTGGAGCAAACAACTGACGACGAAGTTGATGACGTCATCAATACGGCCGTGATTCTTAAAAACGAGGCCGATAAGCAAACCTGTGTAGGTACTGTTAGACAGCCAAGGATATTACACTACACAGGAAAGCCTATCTTCATAAGGCCTGTGTAGATCAAATCTCAAGCCCCACAATAGACCTATCTATTTTCACCTGGTATGCGCGGGCAACACGAGGCAATGCCTTTTTATTGGCTAACGAAAACAGGTGTGAGGTGTTGGTTTTGCACGCTGGGCATCTCCTTGTCCTTGTTCATTGCCCGTGGTCTGACAAGAATAAAAGTATGGTGATGGTCAATGAACTATAGGGTATGGTTGATATTCCACTTGACATAGTTTGACAAAAGACATTCAAAAAGTTTGAAATTTTCATTGACAAATACGTTGCACAATACGTGATCTTTCTCCTTCCCTTTTTATCCCGTGCAAATAAGAAGGACGGATTGGGATACCTACGTAAGTCTAACATAATTTGGTACGTTTTGTCCCGTCTTGAGCCTAGTACTCATAACTGCGAAATTTGCACTTTTTTGACATTGCTTTGACAATTTGACGTTTTATGCGTGTATCAAACGTCAAATTGTCGAAGCAATGGCATTTCGCGAGGATAATCAAGGCGACGTTCCGTAAGTAAGTTAACCAAGATTCTTGGTTTTTCCAGTTCCCGTTCCGTAACCTAAGCACTCCTGAAATCTGGTTAGGTTATGAAACGCGGTCCTGAAAAATTCAGTCCCAACTGCGCAGTCTCGTTTTGTCCTCGCCAGAGTGTGGGCGGTTGGTTTAAGGAGCTCAAAGAGCTTCACCGGGTGGTGCACTAGAGGCGTGTAGAGACCAAATTTTGGCTCACCTCCGCGAGTAAAAACCGATATTCATCGCCATCCGTGGATTTGTTTGCGTCTTTTTGACTAAGCCGGCTTAGATTCCTAGATAAACAGAAGGTTCACGCGTGGTTACGTTGGCAAAATGGCGGCCATCAGAGTCTGAGACTCGTGAAAACGCTGTTTGTTTTGACAGAAAAAGGTTATATCCGGTTTCAGCGATTGATCTAGGCAAATCCTGGATGTGCCTTTCACATTAAGAAAAATTGAAGATAGAAGAAAAGGGTGAAACAAATAGGGGACCTATGATATGGCCTAGAGCCAGACTGTTAGAAATACAATATTTTACGTTTCTAACACACTTGGAATGCAATACAGATTGTATTGAAGTGTAATGTAGGTTGCCTAGGGTTAGTGAGCAAAATTAATAAATATAGCAACTGACAAGTTTATAATAATAATGTCAAAAGTCAGTTCCAGTCAGTTCGTTGTCTCGTGTCAAGAATCGTAAACTCTACAGGATTGCTCAATCGGCTAAATTTGTTCACAATTGCTGTGACGTCACGCGCATGCCGGATTTTCAAGATGGCTGCTGATACGAATGATGTTTCGTTTGTGCTGACAACTATTTTATCGTAAATTCGGATTTATCTAGTGTTATAAGTGTAAATTTAAAGTTTCATTTAATGTGTGTAAGCATAAAAGACTCGTGGCTGAAAATACTCGCGAAAACCCCAAGCATTTTCTGGTTTTATAATACTGGATTTGTTGTATCAGGACATCGCTCTTTTATTTGTGTGTATTGCTAGTTAGTATTTCCTAGTCAAGCATTTGTATTGCTTTTTTTTTATAAATCAAATATCTACTTAGTTGTAAGTTTCCTTTGCATGTAATTACTAATAAAAATTAGGGTTTGTGAAGAGTGAATAAATAAATATGTAAATAAATTCCTTTACTGGCGCGTTTCCTATGAAAACGCATGGAAAATATGGGAAACTTGCAATGTTTTTCTGGAATATGATTATGAGAATCTAAATTAGGTATCACTATTTGGCTTTGTGAAATAAGCTCACTTTGAATGTCCATATTAAATCGTTCTAGTACCTATTAAATTAATGAATAATAATTGAGAAGTACCTAGGTAGGGTCAGTAAAAAATAAAGCACACTATTGCAACCCCGTTTCGCTTATATTTTGATATTGAAATGCAAAAATTAAACCGGCTCGGCACCCCACATTTGGTTTTCCACTGTTTCTCAACTGTAGTCAATTGTGCCCCTTTTGTGCTCAATTGTGCCAGTATTTATGCGAATTGTGCTCATTTTCATACACAAAAAAAACATTGAAACGAATCCGGGGGCCAGCTTGACTCCAGCCCTTCGTTTTTTTGACTTTTTGGCAATATGTTTGGCTAATTAATAAACAAAAGCAAACAAACTCGTCTTTCTAATTAGCAATTAGCCAACCACTCAACCACTCAACCCTCAAGGACACAAGCTTTTGAAGTCTGCTAATTTTAAAATCAATAAATTAATTACAAAATACAGTTTTCAAAGGAAATAACCTCAAAATAACAATTTTTCACGTTTGAAAATGCAAGGATAGTGCACTGTCATAAAAAACACAAACCGATCAAGGACTGCGTGACGTCATTCGCATACCGCCATCTTCGATGTTTTTATGAACATTTGTCTTATGGGATTGAGCAATCCTGTAGAGTTTACGATTCTTGGTCTCGTGTATTTGTAAAACGACCGGTTGAATTGTTCCAATTGTATAATAGGGAACTTGCAAGTGAACTAAAATTTTCCAAATTTGTTTTAAATCGATAGTTTATGCTGCACAATATTCATATGACCAGTTTTTATTTAACTGATACCGCCCTTGTTACACAAAAAGTAATATTAAATTTGAAATAAAAATTTTCCCGCCAAAAAAAATGCTCCTATGATGAATACCTGTTTTGACGTCACGATTCTGTAAACGAACCCGTCAATAGGGAAATTTGTGATAGGGAATTTGCACGTAAAAAAAATACAAAAGCAGTCCTTCACAATATTCTTCATCCATTGCGACAATTTTCACAAAAAGCAAACTTTAACACACTTGAATAACACAAAAATAGCACTGCGTCAGCAAGAGTTCGTTTGCTGCGTATTTTATGTTTACAAAATCTCAACGTCACAAGCGCTGTCAAATTGAAACCTGTTTTCGCGCCAAAGTATTTCATTTGAATTTCAATAATTTTTTTTTCGTACAACGTATAAATTAAAATGGAAAAAAAGAAAATAATGTTATAACTGATGACTAGAAGTATCTAAAAAAAATAATTTGAGAAATATGAAAATTCCCTATTGTGTTTTATGTAAACTTCCGACTTATAAATGAATATAAGTAACCGTAAAGAGTTCGTGTGTTTTATTTCGTTGCGTTAATACGTTTATTTCCAGTCGTATGTCATAAGACATCTCAATCCAATACAGACAACATCAGGGTCGCCACGAAATCGTGCTGGCAAATTGCCTCAGTAGCAGCGCCATTAAAACAAGCAAGCAAGCAGCAAGCAGTCCCAACTGTCAACAAAAAGCTTGTTTTTTTTTCGGTTTGTTTTCAATTTCTGACATTTGTTTGTTTAGGTTAGGTGATATTATTTTAATTTTTTATTTTTCTTCCGCTTTGAACATGTATATGCGGTGGAAATGGGACAAGAGGTGAATACTACATTCATTCGTAACAATTGCTTATTACAAATATATTTTTAAGAAGATAATTCTATCATCTAGCATCCAAGCCAAACCAAAGCTGAACCGGAGCCCCGGAGCGTTCTACACATAAACCGCATTTTCAAGAACCAGACTGTTACCACAGGGGAACCGCTTCTAACCGATTTGTAACCATTCGATAACTCTGGTTAAGATACGGAACCCGCCCAAGTATAATCTCGCGATTCGGGCTGTGCTAGTGAGTTAAGCCTTTCTTCGATTTGAATGTAGAAAAGGTGATTTTCGGTCTGTTGTCACAGAAGAAATTATGTGTTCTTGCTAGCACAGCAATCCATCGAGGTCTGCGGTTGACGTCATTACTATCAGGTGTTGATTTCGTGATGTCACTCGCAGACCAGTTTCCGACTCGAAAATCGGCGAACGTACGATTTATTAGGTTGAGCAATCCTATTTTAGTGGAGTATTCTTGTCTCTAGAACCGCTAGAGCAAAACCGGTTGATAACATTTAGCCGTTTTCTCGCGTACACTTTTTTGACATTGGTTTAAAACCGGTTTGAAACAGTCAGGGTGAATTCTCATGAGCGTAAGTTGACACTTCTGGCGTAATCACGTGATGATATGGTGTAATTTGATTGGTAAAATCTCCAACATGTCAAATATTTTTCCAATAAAACCCAACCATTTTATCACGTGATTACGCCAGAAATGTCAACTTACGCTTATGATAATTCACCCTCAATGGAAAGACCATTGCCCGTTAACCTGTGTCAATAAAGTGAACGCGTGAAACGGCTCTCATGTTATACCTGAAGATGAAAACGCCTATTCATATCTGTTTCAGCCGCTTTCCAGTATGGGAGTGTGACGCCCGGAGCTACTCGGGGCTTGAGCCCCCGAGCTGTTCGTACGCGTCAACCTATCAGCTGTCACATCTGTGGGTGGCTATTTATCTATTTATTTCTTGTTATATCTCAAGATTGAACATTTTAAAATATATAGTTTTGATTCTCTTACATTTATGATAAATAAAAAAACAAACTGCACAAACAAACAGATAATTATTTTTATAATTTGACATATTTGACACTAACACAGGCGTCTCACGCCATGATACTGGAACGGTACAAATCTAGTGCGTGGCGCCCCCGAGGTGCTCTGGAGCGCGCCAATGTGCATACTGAAAGCGGCTCTGTTTGAAGTTTGCTGTCACTGCTGTCATAAGTCATCTGTCCCGGTCGCTGCATCGCCATCGCATCGCATCGCTTCGCATCAAACAACTGACAACAATTCACTTCACTTATTTATTCTTTTTTCAATTCAACGTTGGAATATTCTCAAAATAGAACGGTTTTTAGTTTATGGGATTTGAAAAATTGAGTATTTCAGATTGTTTAAGTCCACAGAGCAATGAATGAAGAGCGCCTCCACATTGTAAGTACCTACCATAAAAAACACACCACAACTTTAGATGTGAAATGCTATAATGCAACCAAAATTAACAAATTTTCTATGACAATTAGTTGATATCCTTTATAAATATGTTCTTGTATCCATTTATATGCGAATATTGAATGAGATTTTCTGCCTAGTAAAAAATAAAAATGGAAAGTCTAACCTCAATATCACATGATAGATAGATAGATAAGGAAGTGACTACTGGCCCCCGATTCTCAACCTCTAGTCACAACCTATCGACCCCGTATTTAAGGCACTTGTAGAATCACTACTTAGATACGGTGAATTTTGAAAACATCGATGTTGACATCAAATGATACATCGAATATGCACAATTGATGTTGTCGATCATATAGTTATAGTTACATTCAAAATGGCTTTCATTCCTTGCTGGGATTCAGTGTAATAATGAAATAATGGATATGTTTGTATGCGCAAAATGCTCGACAAAATGAGTGTTTTTTTAATGGTGCCTGAGAGTGTTAATTTTTACAGGTGAGGTCGAGGCCAAAAATTCATTCGAAGGTGCCCATAAACAAAAATGTCGCATACAAAATACAAATTACATTTTTCCTACGAGCGTGCGCAAAGTAGTACTTATCCGCATTCATTTCCATGCTCAAGGTTATACTTTTCCGCACTCCGTGAAAAGTACTACTTTGCGCACGCTTGTAGGAAAGAATATGTTGACTGTAGTTTGTATGTGACTTTTGTGTCTTCGAATACATTTTTGGCCTCAACCTGACCTGTGAAAATTGACACTCTCAGGTACCATTGAAAAACTTATTTTTTTTACTACTAACCTGAGAAGTAGTCATTATTCAATCTATTTTTCTCGGAAAAAATTGAATTTCTCTCCCTAGGTTAATAATGAAAATAATGAAAAAAACCTAGGTCAATAATGAAAATGACGTCATGACGCAAGGATATTGTCATAACGTTACAGGTTTCTATTGATTTAATTTCAATTTCAAACTGTCAATTTAATCAAAAAAACAGGTTCCTGTATGTATCATAGGAAATTACCATAGATGTTGATAGAGGGCAGTACTTTCAACTGGAAAAAATAATTTGAGCTCAGATTTCAAACTTATTTTTTATTTTCTACTATAGCAGTAGTAAAAAAAATTCTATATATTCCACGGTAGAGACCAACTTCTCTACCTAGGTATATAATGTACTATTGCGCACTTAATATAAAAATAACTATTAATACACTGAATCGCAGCAAGGAATGCAAGCCATTTTAGTCTGGGAGTTAACGACATATTTCATTGTACCATTTCCACAAGCTTCATTCTTTTTGTATGTGTTATGCGTGTAGTATATGATAGTAATATGATCGTCTGCCGGCGCACCAACACGACAGGGGGTTACAGGAGGGTTACACTTACAGCAAAAAATGAACGAAAAAAACTTATAGCCGCATAAGCGAAACTTATTGTACATATTGGTAGAAACTTAGAAAGCTCAGAAAATATGGTCTGCCACCTAAATTCCACGACAAAAGTCGTCTGCCACCCACATAAGTGAAAAAAATTAAAAAAAAATATACCCGCAAGGCTTAAATTAATTATTTTCACAGTGAGTTTGACAAGTGTCAAAAAGAGAAAATAAATATTCCAAGTGAAAATTTTCATTTCCATTTTGAGTGTATCCTTCTATAATCTCTTTAAGAACTCTAGAACATTAGACTTGAGCTTTTCACAATTCATTTTGGTTAGCCTTACAAAAAAATAAAAAAATAAACAGGAATAAGAAAAAAATGCAGCGTCCTAGCGGTGGTGCTCGGGCACTGCATGCCGAACCCAACTTCATAGGCTTGGCAGACGATCTTCGTTGTATCTTATTCGTGGCAGACTATTATGTTTGTGTTTGTTTCCATAAAAAGAAGTATTTTAATCAATTTCAGCCTTACGAGTATATTTTTTGTTTTATTTTTTTTTGCGCTTACTTATGTGGGTGACAGACGACTTTTGTTGTGGAATTTAGGTGGCAGACCATATTTTCTGAGCTTTCTATGTTTCTACCAATATGTACAATAAGTTTCGCTTATGCGGCTTTAAGTTTTTTTCGTTCATTTTTTGCTGTATTTGTAACCCTCCTGTAACTCCCTGTCGTGTTGGTGCGCCGGCAGACGTTTATATTACTATCATATACTACACGCATAACACATACAAAAAGAATGAAGCTTGCGAAAATGGTACAATAAAATATGTCGTTAACTCCCGGACTATTTTGAATATAACTATAACTTTATATGATATGATAATGAAATTATCTGGACAGTGCAGATGATTTTAAGTCAGCACTGTCTGGACAGTGCAGACAGATTTCAGTCGGCACTGTCTAGACATTGATGATAGATTTTAGTCGGCACTGTCTGGTCAGTGCAGATAGTTTTCAGTCATCACTGTCTGGACAGTGCAGAAGTCACTCCCTAAGAAAAAATTAAACTGTTAATAAATAGAATATCATTTTTACTTAACCTACTTTTGTATTTTTTATATAATATACATACACGTAATAAATATACGATTTATAATGAAGAAAAAGTACATTTTAAAAGATTCTTTGCTTAAATGATATTATGATATATAATTCATATGAATACGAGTAACAATTATATTTGAATCACAATTATTATCCAAGAATAGCAATTTTGACTATTTTTTTCTATTTCCATTTATAATTACATACATCATTTATTATCACATACATATAATACATCAGTACCAAAAAATACTGCGAACGATAATGTATAAATTTTGATGCTCTGATGTTATTTGTGAATATCGGGTAGTTATAAAGTGCAGAAAATTTTAATTTTTCGTGCAGTGAGACAGTTAATGACTATTTATCGGATGATTAAATAGTTGAACGAGTACATCCAATATTAGACACACAGATTGCGAGAAGAAATAGAACAATAGCGCATGAATGCATAAAAAAAAGCAAGGTAAATTCCTTACACACAAAACACCTGGCCTTGTTTTTTTTTTTTTTTATGATAATAAATACATTGCAATAAAAATAAACAAATTGCTATGGAGGGCAATGAACCCAACGAGGACCTATGCGTGAAGTGTAAGAAAAACTGTGAGGAAGAATATTATAACTGTGACTCCTGCCTGAAGAGAATTCACAGGAAATGTTCAAATATTGCACCATCTGAAGCAAGGTGTATGCCCCTTCAAAAGCGGATGCTACTGTTGATATGTGAAGAATGCAAATCTCTAATTGCAAGAATGCCTTTTATTATAAGGATGTTGGAAGAAATACAAAGAGATGTCGAAGCCCTAAAGACCGCTAGGCCAAAAGAATCATATGCAGCAGCAGTAGTACGCAACGAGACAAATAGAGAGGGCGATAGGACATGCCTGCCCTCAATTATAATCAAACCTAAAAAAAATCAAGACCCTCAGGAGAGTAAGAGTGAAATTCAAAGATCAATTAACCCATCAACGCTTAAATTGGGAATAAGAAATATAAAAGAGACAAAACAAGGAAATATAGTTGTGAAATGTGACACTGAACAGGATTTGAAACACTTTAGAAGGGAAGCAGAGGATAAACTAGGAGAAAACTATGAAATGGAGCTACCAAAGAAATATTTGCCCAAAGTTAAAATAGCAGGGTACAGTGGTGGAGAGCCACTGGAAATTATAGAAGAAAAAATTAGGAATCAAAATAAATGGATAAACAGTACTGAAGGGTTGAAAATCACATACATCAAAAGCAAGAAAAATGCTGAAAATTCAACAATTTATGCAGAGTGTTCAGGAACACTTTTCAACAAAATGATAGCGCAGGGAAAGATATATATCAACTGGCAGCGTCTGCCTGTGTACGAGGACTTGACAGTGTCCCGTTGTTTCAGGTGCCAGGGTTTCAATCACAAAAGTGCGAAATGCAGCAAGGAACAAGTTTGTGCCAACTGTGCCGGAAGTCATGAATCTGAGTCCTGTGAAGGTATAATAAAAAAATGTGTAAACTGTCGAGAAGCAAATAAAAAATATAAACTACAACATGATACAAATCACTCAGCTCTGCATAGTGAGTGCCCATCCCTAAAATATCGTTTAAATTTATTGAAGAACAAAACAGACTATTATTCTTAAAAAATGGTAATACACGACGAGGACGAGATTCTGGAAGACATTGGAAAGAATGATATCCAAGATAAAATTGTGGGGCTGGAAACACTGCAACAAGTTGATGCAAATGACTATCTGTTAAGTGTAATGCATTTTAATATTAGGAGTTTTAACAAAAATATTGATAACCTAATTCTATTTCTAGAAACATACAAGCTATATAACATTGATATCATTGTTTTGAGTGAAACCTTTCAAATTGATGCTATCGAGAACTGTAATATCCCAGAATATCAAATTTTTTATAACCAGGCAAAATATAATAAAAACGACGGAACAATAATATTGGTTAAAAGGCATATTAATGTTGATTTCTCATTCTCTCTTCTACCAAACGCTAAAGCCACGGTTAGTAGACTGCAATTTCAAATAAGAAACATGACAATTGGACTGACAACAACTTACAAACCACCACCTATCCCAAAGGTAGATTTTGTGAATGACTTACATGCTTACCTAGAATCCTTAACCAGCCTCAATATTGAAATATTCACTGGGGACATTAATATAGACATCTTAAATGATAATGACAATCAAGTAATAAACTATATTGGGATGATGAATGTCATGGGGTTTCAAAGCTATATTAATTCTGTAACAAGACCAGCCTCAAAAACCTGCCTCGATCATATTTTTGTTAAAAAAAAGCTAAACGTAAATAAACTCAATTTTAAATCTTATATCATAGAAGAGGATATAACTGATCATAATCCGATTGCACTATTTATAAATCAGGAAAAAGACTCTCAAATTAGAAAAAATTATCAGGAAACAGTTTTGAAAACAAAGTTGGATGTTTTCAAATTCAAGCAGTTATTG